ATCGGTACATCGGAAAACACTGCATCACTGTGAATCACTTGTTTACATAGACAGTAACTTCCTACTGAATTCAGAGTTTTTCTCGGGATTCCGGATGGACGTATTGACAATTAACTTGAATTTTCTATTCGTCTACAAACTTTAATTTTGGTAGGTTATACTTTTAGAAAGTCGCGTCCTTTATTTAAGTATTTAGTTTTGAAAACAAATTAGACTCTGTTTTGTTCAACGTATTATTTGAGTGTTTCCAGTTCTGCTTCGAGAGTCTATAACTACCCTACTGAGTTCGTAGTATCTTCTTGAAGATCGTCCAGTCCTTTTGGACAAACTGTCCTCTATTACCATCGTCTCTTATATTTTCTGTAAATACTTAATGGGTTAACAGTAAAATAGTGTAGTAATATAGTACGAAGTAATCATCCAAAGAAGTGTATTTGGAAAATTTTATGTGTATAACGTAAGGAAGTGGTGATACTTTATGCGAGTCCTTGGATTTCACCGCGTCACTTACTACCTCCTCTGTTTCGTCCAGGAGTTTTCCCCTGTCTCCCTTACTTGTTGAGGGACCGAATCGAGAGATATATCCACCAGTTGGATTTTCTCTGTACCTTTGGAATAATTCAGAGAGTAGTAGTGTTTAGTTCATACTTAACGAGATATAATAGTAATAAGTACTGTGTATGTATGAGTTGGTTTAGTATCCTAAGTCATCGGTTTTTTCACCACTTCCACCCCTGCCGTCATTCCCCGTTTAGGAACTATTTACCTGCCTCCCCCTTGTTGAGAGTTCGAGAGTGTACAGTTCAACCAGTTGGGACTCTCCCTTAGCCTATGTAATAATTCCAGAGACTTAGTAGTGTTAATTCATACTAAGTATTTTGTACTTTTTTTACTATTTGAGGGTATGATCTCCTCTGAGTTGTCGTTTGAAACCACGCACTTCATTCTCTTCACCTCCCGTCCTCTCTCCGTTGAGGAACTTGTACTTGCCCTCCAGCCCTTGTTATGGAGTTCGAGAAGGACAGTTCACGCAGTTGGACCTCTCCTTACCAGAATAATTCAGACCTTTATTACTTCTACAAAAGGGAGACCAGGACTGGGGACTCAACTTTGAAAACCATACACCGCAAAGAAAGTTGTAAGGAAATTTTACATTTACTACTTCATACTAAATATGTTGTAATTTTTTATGTACTATTTTGAATGGTTTAAGATGTCACCAGGGTTACTCCCTTGTTCAGGTGTATAGTCTTGTCTCCCTCTTTGCTGAGGAAGTTTAATATAGCCTGTCGGACATACGCTCTTATTAACTCATTAAAATCACATGTTACTAGGTGGTAATTCTAGTTGTGTATCGTTGTTATGTTGAAGACCTTTTGTAGTAGTTTTACTGTTTATTACTTTTAATGATGTAGACACTACAGCACTATTATTATCTATAAATTTATAAAAAAGCCGGGAATAAGTCCACCTCGTCCGAAAAAATCGCCGCAGTGGAGAAGAGACGTTCAGCACAGATTAGTGCTCAGCCAGGTTCCTGTACTCCCTACAGAAAGAGACACCGGTGTAGTTGATTATGGAGTTAAATGAGTCCTACCTCTCCCACGAAAGACCAGACAAAAAATTATTTGAAGTTTTAACTTTTACCCGCCGAGTGTTCGTGGACCACACCCCATATACATTCGTGCCATAAATATTCGTTCCGGATCCTGCTCCATACCTACGACAACGTACAACTGTGCGCTTCATGAACAATCGTCGCGTGCCTCCCGTAAGAAAACCGTCCTCGTGTCGAATACCCTCAATAGAGTTGGAGAAGACACAACAGGAGGAGTGGTGGACTAGGTAGAAGATGACAAGAAATGAAAACGAGACGACGTGTACCCCTACGGAAGCGGACAAGAGTGACCTCACGTTTCCGAAAAGTGAGCCCGGACGTTATAAAAGGAACCAACGGGAACGACAGTTGGGAACGTCGTGAACGAATACAGAACCTTCCGCTGACCCCTTCATCGTGACCACCGTCTGCGACTCCGCCTCAAAGACCCTAGTCTGTACGGTCAGTCTAATCTACAGGCACACCAATTTTCGCGGATACTTACCGAAGTAACGCGACACGAGTATAGGCCCAATACGTGTAAGTGGAGTATCCTAAAAAGACGTAGTAGGTCCCAGAGTAGGACTTCGGTAGAAGGTCCGTTCTGAAAGAAGTAGGAGAGGAGAAAACACGTCACAACCGGAGGTGAAGTTACAGGCACAGTAGAGAAGAGACACCTAAGACACAAACAGGTCAACGTTATACACAGACAGACAGAAAAAATGTCTAATTTAGAAAGATAGAAGTCGCATAGCACAGACTACGGTGGTAAGACACTCGTCTTCTCCTACAGAGTTAAGGACTGGCTAGCTCTATAATCTGTTACCACTATACTAAGTTGTATACGCCTCCTTCTAAACCGGCAGTTCTTAGCAGACGTATGATCGTGTACCCTGGAGACGTATGGAGACCGTACTGTGCCTATGTACAACTAGGACAACGGACAAAGACATATCGACTCATTACAGTGGTCGCTGTAGTCATGTCTGGTAGAAAGGCCAAGGAAGGTTTCCTGCGGTTTGTGGAAAGTCCGGGAGTCAGTACACAGATACTGAGTACAAGTTCCGTTTGCTGTTTCTTGCAGGTCACGAATTTGGTGAGGAGTGGAGCTGGCTGGCTGCGGACGAGAAAGTATAGAGCAATACATACTTGTGCACATACACGTATATGAGAATGCATATCTATTCAGACCTGTAACCCATGTCTTAGACTTTACACAGCTATATATATATATATATATATTTTTCCAATTCTCTATTTATGGTTTCATAATGAGTGAGTGAGTTTCAGCTCTAATGCTGCTACTGTCTGTAATATGTTTCTATTTAGATTATTTGGATATTTTTTTGTTATTATTGTCCGAATCTGGTTTTAACTAATACTGGGCTTACACCAAAAGATTTTCACAGTCACAGACTAAAAACTGAAAGGGTAGCATAAGGGTTCTTCCCGTTAGTCTCGTCCCACCCCTAGTCATGACAAAACTTCTGTTGTGATTTGACACTATAATGAATAAAGATTGATTGATATAGCTGTGAATTTTAGTCCTTGAGTTCATAGTTAAGTGCTTTATTTGTTAACTGCTATCAAGGAATATAACTCTCCTTTGTTGTATGCATGAGAGAAGATGCCGCAAGATTAGTGGACTTCTATGTAGTGTCCGCTGATAATGTAGTGGGCTGGTCTGGACCGAAAATGCCAGGGCTGAATTTTTGTCCCAGTCCACCCCTGTTTACGCTTATAATATAGATATGGCTTTAATCAATACCACAATATGAGGTTGTATCTTCCTGGTCGAATGTACTTACTGTAAGTCGCTTTGGATAAAAGCGTCAGCTAAATGCAATGTAGCATGAATGGCTTTCGCTCTCCTTTGAAAACCTTTAGATATTTATCCTCCTGAACAACATAACTTTATTCCACTGATAGATTTATGTATGCATGTGTCCTATACCAAATGTAGATGGAGATGCTACGGAAGTAAAGTCCATTTTATTTATGTAGTAACAGAACATAACCTTTCCCTACAGCAGGTATAGACTTTCACTCTTTAATACTCATACTAGACCACATCACCAACCAAGAGGATGGCCATCAATCTGTTTTTTATTTTAATGTTTTAGGCTCAAAATGATATACAAAAACCGTAAAATGATTTATGTCCAAAGATCAATATGAGGAAGTTTGAGGTGACTGTGGTGTGATCCCTGATGCAGCAGAAACATATCTCTGGCAGCTGTAGGGAAGCAGCATGCTGCCATCTGCTGGTGGAGGTTGAGTGACAGAACTTGATATGCCTTTGTGATCTGATCTGATCTCACAGTCAGAAATAATAAAAAAGTATTCACATTCAGAAAATCATGTTCAAAGACATGTGGTTGTATAGCTTGAAGTTAAGATGGGCTGCATGTGTCAATCCAATCATTTAAAGGGTAACTTATGTTTCCTGCTCTGTTTGTAATTGCATATTGTGACTGGTTGTCTGAAAAGAGCCGTGGAAATGTGAAGGAAAGTTGGGTAGTGGAGTTATTTTAATAGATTTAAACAATGTCACTACAACCTGTTTTGCTGCCACTGTCTTCAGCGGTCTTTCTAAATACTGGACCAATTTCAAACATGTTGAAACCCTTGGTCAATAAGACCCCAAAACAAAGGGAAAAAAGGTGAAGCTTGAAATGTACAGAAGTCACCCTTCAAACCGAATCCCCGGAGAACCTAATGCCATAAAGTCAACTTCTGCTGTGTCAACAAAGTTCACACACTCATGTTTCATTCTCACAGAGGGCCTGACGCTGCAGCTGAGTGACTGTGATATCGATCCAGAAGCTTCTCCACACCTCTGCCAGCGATTCATGCCTTCGTGAGTCTCTCCTATTGATCTCGCTCCTCTCACAGTGGTGATCGACCTATCATCCAGCTGATTGAAGATGGATTTCACAGACGCCATATCGCCACCGCAGGCCGTCTACAGCTTAATCCACTTTCCTAATTACTGGAGTGTGTCATAAAAATGGAATGTGCCATAATTTATGTCATATGTGCCCAGCGTACTGGAACAGCTAATAACACGGGCTATACACCAAAGCCTCACTCCACCACAATAACCAGCAGCCCCCCCCCCACCCTCACCAGATATCGCCTGTGGGCAGCAGCCCCGTGATGTGACTTCCAATGAGTTTCTCTGTCTGACAAGAGCCAAGGNCCCCGCATTTTTATCGCATAATCAAGGATTTTAGCCCGCATAATCAATGATTTTAGCCCGCATAATTAAGGATTTTGGCCCGCGTTTTTCTGGAGGGTCTAACTAAGGCCAGAAGAGATGGACAGACCTGAGCATTATGATAGAAAATGGCGGCGCTTACCTCATGCACTTTAATTACTCTTTGCATTTTTTTGGTTGGATATAAACTCAATTTTGGTGTACTGTGTTCAATGAAAATAACATTAAATCTAATATAATACAATCCACTGATCTCCATTATCCAGCAGGTATTCAATGCTACCCACATGTAGCAAGCTAGCTTCTAGCTACCAGTTATCTGGCTAGCCATAGGTAGCTTGCCGTTTACAACTAAAAACGGAGCAAAATATAAAACGGTGGTTTCAAATATTCTTGTCGATATTATGAAAAGGCATTACTTGGAAACAGGGTACGTTCTAAACTACTAGAGACTACTAAAAAACTACTAAAATACTTACCAAAGAATAGACTTTCCCCAGTCAGTTTCCACAGTCAGTGTCAGAGAAAAGGAGGCAAAAGACAGAACGGATGTGCGCATGCGCAAAGGGGATGTGCAAAGGGGCGGTCCCCAGATGAAAACAATTCATTTTGAGTTGATCTGTCCTAAATACATTTAATAAGTGAATTGATTAAACTAATTTGTGTTACACTAATGAACTATACTTAGGTTTATTTCTTAATTAAAAATATTTAATAAAGCGAACATTTGTATATTGTGTCAAGTCTAAGAAGGGCTTGAATCGTTTTTATGAGTGTAAATGTATTCTATAATGAAGTCGAAATCCCTAATTTTGTTAATTTTCACAATCCATTCATTATTTTTTTAATTGTCAAGAATACATGTAATGCTTGGACTGCAGAAACTCACTTGCACATGTTTATATGCAGAAAATGATTTGGATCAGATTTAAAATTCATCTCTACAAACTGAAAATACACTTAAATATAATACTAAAGGCAGGGTCAACACAAAACAAAATTATAAGCTGACCAATACAAAAAGAATAGTGTCAAATGTCTAAATTCAGAACAAAACATCTAACTAAACTATACATTATTATTCTAATATAAATAGCCTGAGTTAATATAGGGTCCAGTTTTTTGACTGCTGAAGCTGTAAAAAGTATTTGAAGAGGAACCAAGTAATTTATAGAACATTTTTCATTCTCTCAATGTACTTGAGTAAAGGTCTTCGTGAGCACAAATTGACCCTCAAACATCCTCCATGAAGAACATGAAAAAGAAGAAAGAAAATATTGAAAACAAGCCGCTAAAAGCTCTGCCAGCTGCTAATTAGCCTGCAGTGGTGTCGCTTTGTCTCATGTAGGAGGAAGAGGACTCTCAATTAGTATGACTCAACCCAACACCGCATACAAATCTGAGGCTGAAAGGAAAACGAAAAATGCTCAGCAGCTTTCCTGCTAAATCTGTGAAGCTGGCTACATCTGTCTGGGGTACAGTTGTTGCTCAAACTGTCATTATTTTTACAATAAATCTGCATATTTCTCTTTAACACGCTAATGACCAATACACAGTGCAACTCTAATGAGAATATATTGTGTACATGTGTGTGTTTTGGCCTTGTTAGCCATTTTAGTACAGCCTCTTTCATACTTAGTCTTTTTTTCATTTGGCACCATAAAGTGACATCAGAGGTTGTTTATTCCCAATATTTCACTATTTATCACAAATGAATTTGGGTTAACAAAGACATCAATGATAGAAACAAATACACACACTCTTATCTATGTTTTAGTCACCTTTCTGTTATATATTCCATGTGTTGCATCATGGCACATTCATTCCTCTGGAGTGTAGAGCAACTTTGACTCAGTTTAGCAAAGTCTTTTTTATAAATAGGTATTATTATCATGACGGTGACAACACAAGCAATCACAGAGTTCCTGGCGGTCTTGCTAATCATGTGTTGTGAACTGCTCATGGCTAAATAAAGAAATCCTGCACTGGCATAACCCTGCTCTCCGTGTGATGACGATAAAGACCCAGTGTTGCTGTGGAAACAGCACATCAACCAACCAAGGACACCCGTGGCTGGCATCCATCAGCGGATGCGTGCCTGTGTGTTTTTTTGTTCTCGAGCCCACCCCCCCTGCTTCATCATTTCATCACAGCGAAAAACAGGCCCTTGCCAATCTTGTGTTTTTTTCTAAATGTTATTCCAGGGAAGGGAGGCATAGAAAATGAACAGATGTCCCCCTTAAAACACAACATTGTTTTTGATGTTCCACTATTCAGTTCCTGTTTGCCAGAGTCCCCTCAGTGATGCTTTGGATAAAGTTTAATGGTGGATTCCCTGTGTCTAAAATAAGCAGTTTTTCTCCAGCCGAGCAGTGTGACGCGATGAAAAGTAGTTATCCCATAAAACTAAGTAAGTCGGTAATAAGAAATCCATATGCCATGTCGAGGCTTTAATGTCAGCATGTGTCTCCCTCCTGCGAGAAGGGAAATAGATTTATGTGAGAGAGAAAGCGGCGACTGATTGAATAAGTGAAAGTGTAAATAGAGTTTGTCACCGACTTCCTGCTGTTCATCTTCCTGTCTGTGTCGCTGTGTTGACATCCGATAAGCTGCAGCGCAACACATCGATTTGTGGCACCGGGTGTGTTTGTTTCACTCCACCCCTCCGTCCCTGCTGATGCGATCGTGCCTCGAAACAAAACCCTGTTGTTTGCCTACAGAGAGGTGCAAGTCTGCCGCTGCATATCTATCCAAACTTACTCCCATTCTGAGTGTCCTTGGCTCTTGTCAGACAGAGAAACTCATTGGAAGTCACATCACGGGGCTGCTGCCCACAGGCGATATCTGGTGANCAGCGTATGTGCAGTGAGTGTGTGTGTGTGTGTGTGTGTGTGTGTGTGTGCACACACACACACACACACACACACACACACACACACACACACACACACACACACACACACACACACACACACACACACACACTCACTGCACATACGCTGCCTCCTCCTCCAACACTCTGTCACACTTCACTCCCCCCCTCCTTCTCCCTTCCTCTCATTTCCTCTCCATAGCTTCAGGCCGCGGTGTCCTCGGCATGAGGAACCAGCGCTCACTGGAGAACGCACCGCAGCCACGAGCCGGACCCTCCGTCCTCCACACCGCCGCGCTGCTTCTCCTCTCCTTCATTGTCATCATCGTCCTCGAAATCTAAATTTGACAAGGAGGTCATGAGGATTCGTCACAACATGCATCATTTAAAA